TAAATGTTGGGCCCATTAAGAGCCCATGGTGATGGACTCAGGGGTTCACGGTCTCCTACAGTGAATTTGGCCAGGCCTTGTAACAAAGGCTGGGCTGAACCCATGTGGCTGATGTGTAGATCAATGTTTGGGTCCCACACCATACAAAGATAGCCAACTGAGCAGATTAAGAGGTTAAGTGAGCACATAGACTTAATGGGCCTAAAGCCCAATTCGAACTGGCTTAATAAGATTAGTTAAATGAGGGCGGTTCTGGGATTTGGATCAACAGATAGGATAAGGGGTTATCCCTATCCACTCAAAGAGTCCAGATCCAAATAATAGATTGGATTAGGAAACTCCTAATTTGATTAGGAAGGCTGATCTTTATCTACAGATAAATTAAGGGATTGTCCTTATCTCTTAAAGAGAGTCCAGATCCAAATAAAAGATTTGGATTAGGAAACTCCTAATAGGATTAGGAGAACCTCTCTTTAAGGCTATAAATAGGAGAGCAGGGCGAACCCTCAATACAACAACAGATAGTCTGCTGAACTAAGAGAGAAGACAATATACAGTTCAACTGCTTCTAACTTCCGCTCTTGTTCCTGCTCTTGCCGCCCTACCCAGTTCGATCTCCACCGGTGGAAGTGATCAAGAACAATTCTTGATATTGCCTTTTGCTAGAAGAGGCAATCTGAAGTCGTGCTCACCAGCCCTCCATCATATTCTTGCTGAAGAATTCGGTTTTTGCTGAAGAATCGTCCTACTGATTCTGCTTCACCTCACACTGTGTTATCTTCGGTGGAAGTAGTCTTTGGTTCTCTCCTTGGGCGTGAACACCTTCATTGGGGGCTTACTATTACTCCGTATCAGGTATATCCCTCTACTCCCTTTTGGTTTCAGATCTGGTCCGGTTTGGTTTCAAAATTGATCCTTGAAAATGCAGTTTTCTAAAATAGGGAATGCGATTCCCACATGGGAGAGAGGAATTTTTGAAATTTCGCCCAACCTTCCTGTAGGGTTCGGCCATCCATATGATGGATCTCTCATCCCTTCACTTCTGAGAATTATGCTACTTCAAGGATTTCTGGAAATCAAAACGGGGTAAGTGGGGGAATGGATATGAGTTTCCCCATGGTTGTTATTCCCTTTGATGGTCCGAATTACCTTGAATGATCTAGAGGAATAAAAATTGTACATCACTGCTAGGGGAAAAATAGGATACATCAATGGAAAAGTGAAGGAACCAAAGAGCAAAAGTGCTGAATATGATAGATGGAACCAAGAAAATAGTATGGTGATGTCATGGTTCTTGGTTTCCATGCTGCCACAGGTGAAAAACTTTTATGTGGGCTGAAACTGCTTGTGAAATATGGGAACAAGCAAAGTCCACCTATTCAGAG